ACCTTGAGGTCTGGAATTCTTTTCTGATTAAGGCCTTCATTGTGTGGAAAGACATCGGTCGGTCCATGCATTGCAAATCCTTGTCCCCTTCTTAGCAAGTGTGTCAGCGTGCTCATTGCCTTTAATGCCACAGTGACCAGGAATCCATTGTAGGACCACTGTTTTGTTTTTCTCTCTCAGCAGCTCATAGAGTTTTCTATATTCCATTATCTCAGCTGTTTTGGGTGGCTCTCTGTTTCCAATAGAGTTTATTGCTAACCGTGAGTCCGAAAGTATCACCGCCTTGGTAAATTTCGTATCCAGGCAATATAATTGGCATAGTGCTATCCTAATGGCCTCTATTTCTCCTTTAAAATAGTATTTCTACGAATTGTGATAAAACGTTATTATTTTCTGATTGTTAGATTTTTTGCCAATTCGTTGATGACGTGAATCTCTTCCAACTACCAGGGTTTTATTGTCTTGCACGTATATAAAACACTAAGGACAACTTCATTTCAAATACCTACTTGGAATATTGCCAACGTATATAATTCCAACTGTCCTGTACAAGACTAAATCCGAAGTCCTTTCATGGGCATTACTGTTCTCATACATGGCATCCCAGTTCCTTTTCTCCAACATATTTCGATCAAGTCAAATAGGCGGATCCTACAATCAAATCTTCCGCATCTGCAGTTTCTTCTGCAAGCTCTTATTTATTCCACCTCATCCACTTTCTGCTTCGAAACTCAATCCATTCTCAGTTTCTCTTACCTTTAAATAAAGTATCAATCATGTTTATTCTTTTGTTTGCTTACATCACTTTGCTGCAGAATACAGGTAGACTTTATTTCAGAGTAAGCTGAGTGACATGAAATAAATGATTAAATTGCAAGTGTACTTAGAAGTACATTAAGTAGGCGTTCATGTCAAAGTCGACTACCTTTGTACTTTTTTCTGACAGGCGTATAGATTTACGTGGTGAACCCATTCATTTCCATCAGATAATAGGGAAATTTATTTGAATCACCCTAAATGAGGAAAAAGATATCTTTGGACTCCTTTCTTATAGTCTTATCTAGTAATTTAGATTAATTCACCAGTCATTGAATTTTTGCATATAAAGAACACTATTTATTGTATAGAAACAGACTCACAAGCACTAATTGTTAGAGACGAAATAGTTATAAACAATAGTCAGATATATAAATCAATTATGAGATCTGATAAGTGTAAACTGATAATTATCTCCAAACTAATACCAGCCATTTCGCAGGAATTAGTTGAGAGTACTATGAAAATAGGAAAATATTTCCCTCACTCAAACTTAAAACAAATTCGTTATCTATTGGCCTTATTTATGCCATGCATAATATGGTAAAGTAAAATTATTGTAACCTTGAGAAGTAAGCATATGCTAGTTTTCTTCATTGCCTCAGGCAGAGCGGAACTATTGTAAAGAAAAATTATGACATAGTTATCTCCAAACAACAAATTTAAAAATCATTTCTCAGATTTAAGATTGGGTGAAAATATAATCTTTTAGAGATTTAAAAAATTAAAATTAGATGCTACACTTAACTCTGCGCAGTGGAATCACAAACTACTGAAAATTTTAATTGGGCAATGGAAGGAAAAGGACAAACTTGGTTGGCTCATCGAAGCCGGTTCATTGATTGGTTTAAAGCACCAACGTAATAACCACGGGATCTTTCATTAACAAACTTATCCTCTTCTTACGGTTCGTTCTTTCCATTCTATATATAAAATTGTAAATTTTCTGCCATCATACAACCTTTATTATTTTATTTATAAATGCCTTTCAAGTAACTTATTCCCTCGATTAAAAAGATTTTAAAAATATATTTTCGCCTACCTTTTCTAAAGGGCTTGACAGCTGAAAACCCCGCTATATTTCTCTTTATGCACTTTGTGCACAGAATTAAAAATATAATTAAATTAGTATTAAATTTTGCATTAAAATTCAATGACTTTAGTAATGGGCTGCGTTAAAATTTTTTGATAATTAGATGATACCAAGTTTTGTCATTTCAAGAGGCATTGAAATTAAGTTTAAGGCCCAAATAAAATTATATCTTTTAGTTCAGCAAATTTTTTCACATATTTTTTTATGAGAAGCATATGGGGATAAGTATTCAAAAACAGAATGATTTAAAATTTTCTATTTTTATGTGAAACCTTACTTTGTTCAAGTTATTGCCTTGCTGCTTGATTTAAACAATGAATAATGGGCAATTTTAGGAAATCTTGTAAGACATTATTAATGTAAGAATTAATGTGGTATCTGAAAAGGATTATACATTTATCTTTTAAATGGGCGTTTGCCCAGAAAAGCGATAGATTATCAAGGTGCTAACGCGGCAAATGAATGGAAAAATCCGGATTTTACTGCATTGAGAATAGTTTGAAGGAATAATCTAAACAGAGCAATATTTCCTTGACTCATTTTACATATTCGCTGTCTGAATGGCACTATTTAAATAAAGAAATCAATGAAGCTTTCTCCTGTCAACTTTCAAAGATCATATTTATTCCTCAAATCTTTACTGTCTTCTAGATAAAATTAGCAAATTTCACCGTACCTTAGCTTAAATCAGTCTTTTAATAATAGTCTTTCTTGATCGTACTTGTTTTAGATAAGAGTGGGCTGAGTATGGCAACGTGAATATCAGAATGGTCGACAGTGTGACTGCAATAGTTCTGTCTATATGCATAGCCCTGGCAGCTTTAGCAGCGTTTATTTGCGTGGCAACTCTGGCCGTAGCTTCGCCTTGGTGGCCTCAAAAGAAACGAATTAGATACTCACGTTCCAACGCCAAAGCGACCATTTCCCCGGTTAATTTACTTTGCCGTACTATTGAAACCTTTGCACTCACCTCTCCACATTCAGCTCCGAGGAATCGGGATTTCTCAAGAAGGAGTTCGGTGTTAGCTGAAAGTCAATCTCTTCCTTTGCGATTTCAGCCTGAAAGACTCTATGGTGCTACTAGTCCCCATTACTCGTCTTTTCGTTCGTCGTTTAGCTCATTTTCAGGGGCTCCAGTTTGTGAACAGAGTGGGGCAGGAGTTACAACAATCGGAGGATATCTTGCTCCACCCACCCTACGACCGCGATCTGGTTCAACCTCAATCATAAACGATCTTGCTAAAGGCGGTTATGAAAGTATATCCCCGATCCCAGCATTTATGTCAACAATTAACGCACAAGCAGAGGCTCAAGTTTATGCATCAAACCCGCCTAGGTTTATACCTACAAAGGTTGACTCGGACACAGCCATCAGAAGAAAATCTTTAATCACGGCTCGACGTACAACTCTTGGAAGTCTCTCACCGAAACCAATTGTAAATGAACTTGGAGCAAGTATGACTGAATTGGTGTCTATTCTCGGAACACAAGTGAGCCGATCAACTCAGAATTCGCCATCTAGAAAACGCACAGCATCTTCGGTCGCAATAACACCCATCGCCACTCCTCCTCTGTCCAGACTTTCCCCAGTTAATTATTTTACAACAGCAGAAGCTCCCGGTGGGACAATTAATTATCGCATATTTATAGATGCAACAGGGAAAAGAAGTTTGACTGTTCGTGTTCACCTCTACCGTGCAACTAATCTACCCGCAGTCAGGCCATGGAAGAATTCAAACTATATGGTTAAGGCGGAACTAATTGGTTTTAAATCCCACTTTGTTCAAACCAGTGGTGTAGTAACTGCTTCTTGTGGGTCGCCTAGATTCTCAGAGGGAAATCCATCTGTTCTGGACTTTGTCATGGACTGTGGAATGCCCTTCAATAAGTCGGAAGAGAATATTCTACTGAAGCTCTCAATAATTGAATTTTCTGGTAGAAAACCTGGTGAGAAATCTCTGCTAGTTGCCTCAAAGGAGTATCAATTCAATCATCATACACTAAAAGGAAAGTCAACACTTTCGGCTGATATTAATTGGGAAAGGTGTAAAGCATGCATTGATGTAAGTGCAGACATCATTTCATTCCTTTAAGAGTAAAAGTATATGAGTAAAATTGAAACCATTGCCCAACTTTCCCACCTCATATCTTTATAGATTTAGATTTTGCATGGACAAAAATTAATACATTTCTCCATTGAATTTGCTTTTATAGAGTATTTTCCTGACTTTGTCCAAAATTTTACTTTTCCTGTCAATAACTCATTTATAGCTTAATAGGAAATACTAGCTTAAAAGTCATCCACTAATTTCAAACAAGTTTTGATATGAATGGTTACATTTTGATATGGAAATTTTCAACTCTATTAGATAATTTAAATCTTAGCTACATCTCGAAATTCTTCTTAATCCCTTACGATTTTGTCCCAGAAATTAGTTTGTGCAACAATAAATTTAAATTGCCACATCAAAAAGCTGCAAAACCCGCCAAACCTTTTTTGCGTTTTTTAGTGGACATTTTTAAATTTAATGTCTTAAGAGCCTGCGAAAAATTTAAAAACAGTAATGCGCAAAATTATTGAATCATTGGGAATAACTTAATGGTTATTATGATGCATTAAACGTTTGATAATGCCAAAGTAAAAATGTGTTTCAAGGTTGCTAATATTAAGGATTTTAAATTGGTATGCATTTAAATTTCACGTATGAACTAGGGAAATTTTGAAAAAAATGAGAATTTGAAAGAAACCTTATTTCGCCTTTTTCGTAACTCAAATTTTTTGGTGTTTGGATTTTTCTCAAATCCATATTTCATAAATTTCATTAGTTATTATATTTATTTGTAATATTTTACAGTATTAAATTCCTATGACGAAAAGATTTTTAAATACAATGAATTTCTACTGATATACCAGGACTTAATATTTTGTGTTCTAAATGTTATCTACATTTAGTGCCTAAATCTGGATAATAATGAGAGTGTGGTAGAAATTAAACATTTCTTTCATTACATATCTCAACCAAATGCAAGTCTTTGGGTAATGAATTTTCAAATGAACCTAAAGGGCAATTTTAAAGCTGTAAGTAGATTAATGATTATGTCAAGAGCTTTAATGTTGTTTGAATTGCAATTATACTAATTGATTTTGTGCAATTAACATAAGAAATATTTTTTAATAATCACAATATATGAACATATATACGTATATATTGTTTAATATTAGATGATAACTTCTACTTTTAATTACAGGTCTATCAATTGAAGGCCGATGTATTGGCATCTTTGGCTCAACGCGAAACAGATGGCTATCTACGTTTCGAAATTCATGAAATTCGAAATATGAGTTTCAGAAATTTGCCTGACAACATGGAAGACATGCATACTGCTTCAATGAGAACCAATTTGACTCCAAGTAAGATGCTTATAAAACAGCAAAATTGGGTGTTTGGGAGATTCGACATATTCTCTGAATATGAGATTCTATCAGCAATAAAACAAAAGCATACCGCTGGCGAATTATCAGCCTTTCCGGAATATATATTTAAGTATTTTTACTTCAAAATCATGTTTGTTTAAACCGCTTTTCAATTTGTAAATGACATTTAGGTCTAATAGTTATAATTTTGCCTCGGAATTAATACTATTGACAAAATGAAAATTTTTCTTTCAATAAAAATGTATCAGCATTCAAATTAAAGTTAAACCTATAAAAACGAGTTAAATGTTAATAAATTTTGAATTCCCGTATAATTTTTGAAAAATAACATTCGCAGCTGATGTTTTTTAAAATACAATGTTGCGAAATTGTAACAATATTTGAAAATGGTCTAGGAAGCAAACTTTGTCCTTTTTATTTTCAACTAATTCCCTTAAATTAGCAGGAAATATGAATTTATTTGAGACTCAGACATTCGATGGGCTCTTACACCCGCCATTGATTAAGGTTATTTTTAAAATATAAACTTAAGAATTAAATAAGAAGAACTGTCTAAATTCCTTCAGAATAAATTTTTTAGCTTTCATAATTTATCTAGAAGTATTCTTTATAAACATAGAATTCTAGACTGTCTTGTTCGGAGCATTTTAAAAGTCCGCTCTTTGAAACTTCATCGAGAGGTTCCAAAAAAATTTGATCTCCTTACATAGCGTTAAGCACGCTAATTATTATTCTATCAATTCAAATTTTGAAATTTCTAGAAGTATTCACAACTTCCGTAGGGCATGTTTCTCGGATTTGGAGAAATTTTGAGCATAATTTAAATGAGTGTAAGTTACTGACAACATATATGGTCTAGAGTATTATACAGGGAAGGCATTCCTTTTAAAAGAGCAAAGAAAATTAATTGGCAATCAATGAATCTCAATAGTTATTTAAATATACAATTTGTTAATCATATGCTATTCGGGTCAAATTAAGTAGACACGTTATATGAGTTATTTTCAATTATTCAGAACTATAATGATATTTACTAAATTTTAGTATGCTTTTATAGCTAAATGGATAACATGTTTATATATGAGAAAAACTTTTAACTGAGCATAAATATAATTCGATTTGACACTCCTAACAGCTGCACTGACTTCGGACCTTTGTAAGATGCAAAAGTATAAAGACATCAAAGGCTTAAACAATCCTTTTTATTTCAGTGTTTTCTCATTTAAATTGCAAAATATAAATGGAATAATTAATAGAGGAGGCTTTATTTGCAAGTATATTATTGTGTAACAAGATTTTTCGAAATATTGAAAGCCGTTTGCAATATTATCTTCTCAAATAAAATGAGTAAACACTTTTATGCATTGTGCTTTATTATGGAAAGAATAAATTATCATTAAAATCGTTGTAATAATAATTTGGACAATTACGACCTCAGTAGACTTAGAAGGTCAGCTTACCTTTGTTTTCGTTTCAAGAAATTGATTAATACGTTATTTCACAATTTTTGGCATTGGTTATCAATCAAATCAAGTAAAGCTGACGTAGTAGTAGATTAGAATAATTTATGTCTTCATTTTGGTTGCTAATTTAAGATATCAAATTAATTTTAATTTATACCATTGTGTTCAAATTACAATGGGGTTTCCACTTCACTTTAATGAAAGTTTATGCAAGGGGAAAATTTTATGTTCTTCATTTCGTTTCAATTTTTTGACATTTCAACGAGAGTCAATGAAAGAATTTTTTTATTCATTTTACTTATTAATGGAATAGTGAAGGACAATTATATATAAATTTCTATCGTGTTCTTAACTTATCTAATCTAAATAGACAATACTTAATGCGCTCAGAATTTAGTGTAACTATTAGACGAAAAGTTTTTTGCAGTATCTTTATTTAAGATAGCTTTATTTAGGAAAATTGTTGACCCCTACCTGGTGAATACTGAAGCATTTTGTTCGCAGCTTATTTTCTAAGTCCACAGAACATTATATTTGTTATTCATGGTAATTAATTTAAATAATTATTCTCCTTTTTTAGCAAAACTGCGATTGAGGGCATGCCTCGTCTCCAACGGCAAAGCCACTTGTGTACGAAAGGGCTTTAACATACGTCTTCCGACTGAATTCGTTGAAAGCATTTCGAAGGGTGTTGGATCACTGCCATTAATTTTAAAAGACCACGTATTTAACACCAGCGAATTGCTTTTGACATTTCGACCACCTTTCCAGTCCAGTTTTGACAAATCTGAGCTCTTCAATAAAGTTGGCGTGCGACTAGTTCAATGGAAAATTCTTGCTTACTTTGTTCTTATTCTGGAGGATAATTCAACTCATGCAGGAGGAGGTAAACGTGTCCGAGCTATTGGATGCTGCTGTCTTGGATCAAACTCTCAGAACACAATCGAGGGAAGCTCTACCATAAAGGACGGTACTGACCCTCTTCTATCAAACGTAGCATCTGGGAGTTCACGGTCCCAAGTTTCTCAATGGTTGCATATCGGATAAACTTCCGATTAATTCTATTCCTTCCAATCGTTTTAAATCTTACCCATCTAGTTCAACAGTATTACAGTTTCTGTTATGGAGAGCTTAAAGAAGACAATAGTAGATTATTGAGTTTTGTTGTATTTGAACCGTCACGTCCGTTTGTCTGTACACGTCTGATTTTGTGGCGATGATGATGTGTGAGTCCTACATTCTTGCTATCTTCACATAATGACCCTATATTTTAAGTTTCAACATTAACTTGACTGTCATTTAAAAATGCACATTTTTTAACTTTATTTTCATTTGAAGCCAAGTGAAAGACATGGGGGCCAGGACTTGATTCGCTTTAGGTTATCATTTTTAAAAAGTATGCATCGTGAACATAAAGGAAAAGAATAATATAAAATCTGCATTATGATATCATATATTTGCTTATACTAGTTAAATCACAGACAGATAAATTGGAACGTCATAAATACCTTATAAGTACTTGGAATCAGACACGTAAAAACAAATTGAAATGATATGGTAACTCACACCGATGGATCTTGGAATTGAAAGATTTCAACAAATAAATGATTTGTTTATTATCATTTATTTGCTAATTATATAGTAATATTTATAGTATTTTAGAATATTTACAATAGCAGAATTCGAATATGACTGAATTTGCATCGTTCAGGCTGAAATGTTTAAGAATTGAGCTATTTCAACCTCTAAGTTTGAATTTTTATTAATGCCATCAATTTAAGGTATTTCGATGCATCATTAAGTTCAGCTGATTTCATGAATATTTAATTAATATAACTTCAAGAAAATAGCTGATAAGTGCCAGTATGAATGGTAAGAACTTTCAAAAATTTTTTATAACATTTTTAGAAAAATAATTTGACCAAAGACAGGATATCCTTGACAAAAAGCGGTAAATCCTACTCATATTAATTTAAATTATTCATTATGCATATATATATATATATAAAGTACTAAAATTCCAACATGGAAAGTGGTTGTGCTGGCTAATTGCATTCACGCTTCAGCTCAAAAACATCAGGAAATAATACTGATAAGAAAAATTAACAAACTGAATTTTTTAAGTCATAAACTAATGGAGCGGAAATTCACTTGTCAACCTGTTACCAAAAAATAAGCTCTAAGTTTGTTATAAGTAGAGGATATTTGCTATTTCACTTTTATGTCAAAGTGCCGTAAATCCAATAGGCATTATTTGAACTGGAATCGGAAAGATGATAACAGGGAAAAATGAATTTTTCCAGACCTGAATGAAAAATTGTACAAACAAACAAAATAAATATTGCTCAGTTTTGATATAAGCACACCCTGTCAATAGCATCTTTAATTCCTGGATAGTTTCTGAATTTAATGATTTTAATTGCATCACATGATTTAAGAAATTAATAAGTTTGCCATACACAGTACTGTTTTGCTCACAATGGAATAACCCTCTAAAAGAGTTAATAGGAAAAAATATTTTAGATTGGATCTCATAGAGCAAATATTTAATTAAAAGTGAAATTTCATGCTAAGTAACTGATGACGAAAACGTTCATTAAAAATTAATTAAAGTTAAAATATTGACAAAGAAACGCTTCCAGGTTTGATTTAAAATTGTAACTTTTCATCTCCAGAGTATATATATATATCATATGTATTTCAAAAACAATGTTGGCTTCTGAAAAAAAATTCAAGTGAGATTTTTTTAATTGGTGAAAGTTAGTAAATGCAAATATCTATATACGGAATAAATCTGTCTCAAACTTTGCATTCTAATGATTGAAATTTGAAAGCTTTCGAAATTCATACATAATGCATACATAATAAAATTCACTTAAGCATCTTTAAAATGTAAATTTACAACAGATATTATGTATAAGAAAATTTTCATTCAAATAAACTTAATTATCTCTCAAAATTTGAGCTTAGTCTGCTATGAAACTCAACAGAATTGGCCTATAAAAGTGCGAAAAAATGGACGACATGTAAATAGATGAAAAATTATTCAAGATAATTGTTCATTAAAAACAGTGATTTTTAGTAAAGCGATCGGAAGGATTATTAATTAATTTATAAATTACAAGCAGGTTGACTTAAGACATCATTTTACATCGAAAGATACAATGGCTAATAGCACTGTGAGTCCATATTAGATAATGGAACTGTGCTTTACATTAATACCAAACCCTATACTACCATGTATGTCTTGCATTTTTGGTGTTAGTTTACACAAAGGCCCTTTAATTGAATAATTAGCCACAGATTACTTTGAAAGCGCCTATCATTAATAGCAAAAAGAAAGTAAGTTATAGTTTATCATATGATGGCTCTTGATTTTAGTAAATAAAACCTTTACTGACGGCTTCAAAGGAGAATTCAATCACAAAGCTTTTAGTCATTTTTTCAGATTTCAAAGATAATTTTGAACGACGATCTTATATTGTTTGTTATCTAAAATGGTACACTGTGAAATATGTTTTTGATGCAGGATCATTAATATTTCTAATTATTAAAAGATAATTTGGGGTTTCCCCCTTGAATGTGCATTCAAGGTCATTTTCCATTTCCATTAAAAATTTAGTTTCGAGACTCGAAAAACCGGATAAAGTTCAAAACAATTTGAAAGTCATTTTCATGGAAGTTTTATCGAGAACGGCTGTCTAGTTTTTTTAAATTTTTAAATCCCCAAGGTACTATTCAAATTAAATTTTGTCTCATCGGTATTTGCATTAGTGGAAAAAAATGTTGTTGATACATCTAGAAGAAATAGTAAAACCAAAATTATTGTGCAACCATAATTTGAACAAAAATTAAAGCACATGAAACTCAAGCAAAACTGAAATTTTAAAATGATAGTTAATTCCTTGATTACTCCAAGAATTTTGTTTATGAACAATTTAATATCTCTCGCTTCCTCCAATGACCACTAATAGAAGTTTTATGTTCATTTTCATAATAAATTGGGATGAATTTTTCTCCTAGAGAATTTTGATGTGTATTTTTTAATTTCAAATGCAGCCTTAATAGGACAAAACAAATATGTAATTATTAAATATTCTATTTTGAAAATTTTCCATACGAGTAAATAATTAATCTCAACTATTCAGGTTTTATCAAATCAAATTAGAATAATTTTAAGGAAACGGTCTGTGAGAAGAACGAATAAATGAATTTGGAAAGAGGTTTTGTGAGTCTCTTTTCCGTTTTATCTAGATGGCAAAATGTTATCCTTTTACAATCAGTCACAATTAAGGATCCTTTGGCTCATGATTGAGAAAAAGTTCTCTTAGTTTTAATCCGTGAAAAGTAAATGAATAGCAACTGGATTATCGGTAATGGAAAATATTCAAAAGACTACCTTATTTTAATATAAAAGATGGAACTTAATTGCGTATTAAACTTGCGTTTGAATAGAAAAATGACGGCTTATAATAACAAATATTTTCCATGTATGTAATGGTTATCTTCGGTCAAATTAATCATATATGGAGAGCAAAAATGGCCAGTGAAAATTTACAAAAAGGAAATTGTTTCTTAGACTCCAAATGCATTTAATTGCAATTTCATCGGGTAACAAACATTTAATGCTTCTTAACAAAATGCTTATAACAGTGGCATTCAATAATTATCCATCATCATCCATGTTAATTACAGGTTCTTTATGACGCTTAATTTTTGTTAAATTCTTATTTTAAATTGCATTTAAATAACCCAATTTTTCATTTCCTTTAATTTTAGCTATTATTTTTAGGTAAAAAGCAAATGTTATATTGAAAATCTTTTCAGTAATATAGAGATTAAGAGTAAATCAGTATAAAGCTTTTATATTATCTAATAATCTAATGTGCAATTATTATAATTGCAATCAGAAAAGTTATTTACCTTATAGCTGTTCAATTTATTGCCTCTAATAAAAATTCTCTATTTTTTCGGATGATAATTTATAAATTTTGTTCCCAGCAAACTGTCTTAGCTTTTTTAAATTGTACCCAACTTACAGGCAAATAACCTTAAAGCAATTACCACACCATTAAATAAAATGAGAAGATTTAAATTGGTGGATGCGTGAATTCGGCAGAGCAATGAATCTTAACTTGAAAATGTATTGATTTATTTATTTATTTCAAATGGCAGGCGTTATGATAGGTACCATTAGCCCTTTAGTTGACTTCAGGCTTCACAGAGGGGAAGATAAACATCAAAGTGACAAAACGTCGAGAGAGGGGCAGAATAATGTTTCACAGACGTAAAAGAGACAGATAGACACAAAGGTAGAAAAAGGTAAGATGAGTACTGTGAAAGGGGTCGAATATGACAACCAGGGGGGTCGTGGTAGTTTGAAGTGGGAAATCAACTGCCGGTTAATAGACTTTTTTGCCGTATGAGTATACGTTGCCCAGGGTGCACCACGTGGAGGTAAGTCTATCGCACACCCCTGAAAATGTATTGATTTGCGATAGTTTTGTGAGACTTTATGCGCGCATTTCAAGCACTCTCCGCTCAATTAAAAAACGGTTCCTCTTTTGCAATTGATTAAGTATGATTTTATAAATATAAAAGGTATTTAAATCTAAATCGATACAAATTGCGCAATAAAGTAGCTTTCGATTACAAGTCAACGCTACTGCTCAGGAATGATTTTTTAAGATCGGTTATGTGATATAATCATTGGTCAAGTCTTAAACGTTGTAAA